CATCATAATTTGGATTATAGTGAATCCTTAACACCCAGCGATCTTAATAAATTAGAATATTTGGATATGTTTATTAAAGAATGCCTAAGGTTCTATACCATAGTACCTTTAACCGGAAGACAAACTACCCAGCCCACTAAAATCGGTCAACGTACTTATGCTGCTGGCATTACTTTATGGATTAATATGTACGGTTTGGCTCATGATGAAAGCCTTTTCGAGGACCCTTGGTCCTTTAAACCCTCACGTTTTACTAAGAAATCCTATGAAAAAGTTCCCAAATTTAGTTATATTCCTTTTTCAGCGGGCCCCCATATATGCATTGGACGCAAATACGCCTTTTTGATAATGAAAATTTTGACCGTAAAAATTTTACAGAAGTTACAAGTTTCTCTCAGAGATCCTGACGAGGAATTGGTGTTAATGGCACAAATGGTTTTAAAGGCCAAAAATGGCATAAATTTGGTTTTTAATGAAAGATTGTGAGACAGATTTTTAAGAAAATAAAGAAAAATTTTGAAAACCTAAAAAAGTAGTATTTTTTGTACTATTTTAAAAAATGGTAAAAATATAATTAATTTTCGTAATTTATAGCAGAAAAGTGTAAAAAATTATGAAAATTTTAGTTTTAAGCAAATTTGAAAAAGTAGTATTTCTACTACTATTTTCAAAAAGTCGAAATTATACTGAAACTTAACTTTTTTAACAGAAAACCTAAAAATATCACAAAATTTCAAATTTAGAACAAATTGAAAAAAGTAGTATTTTTACTACTATTTTCAAAATGTTGAAATTATATTGAAATTAGCTATTTTATATTAGAAAAGTTTGAAAAATTTTAAAAAAATAATAAAATTATATCATTTTGAAAAAAGTAGTATTTCTACTACTATTTTCAAAATGTCAAAATTACAAAAAACCCAACTATTTTTTGCCAGAAAACATTAAAAAATATGTAATTCAAACTTTTGAAAAAAGTAGTATTTTAGTACTATTTTTAAAATGTCTAAAAAGTAAAAAACCTTGTTGTTTCATACAGAAAAATTAAAGAAACTTAATAAAATTCTTTTAGGTAAATTTGGTACGATTAAAACTAGTAGTATTTTTAGTACTACTTTTAAAATGACCAAAAAGTACTAAAATCTTGCTGTTTCATGCAGAAAAATTTTAGGAAATAAATAAAATTATTTTAGGTGAATTTGGAACGATTTAAAAATAGTAGTATTTTTAGTACTATTTTTAAAATTAACAAAAGTACTAAAATCTTGCTGTTTCATACACAAAGTGTAAGAAAGTATAAAATTATATTTTAGGCGAATTCGGAACGAATTAAAGTAGTAGTATTTTTAGTACTATTTTTAAAATGGCCAAAAATTACTAAAATCCTGCTGTTTCATGCAGAAAAATATAAGAAAATTAAAAAATTATATTTTAAGTGAAATTGGAATTAATTTTAAATAGTAGTATTTTACTACTTTTTGAAAAAATATTTTTTTTTAATTTTTCACAATTTTCAAAATAAATTTAATAAATTAGTAAGAAATAATAAGAAAGTTGATAAAATTTTGAATTTAGATGAATTTACAAAAAGTAGTATTTCTACTACTGTTTTATAAAAGTCAAATATTTATTAAAATATTGCTTTTTCATATAGAAAAATAAAAAAATGTTAGTAAGTTTGAGATTTCATGATTTTTTCTATTATTGAAAAAGTAGTATTTTTACTACTATTATAAAAGGTATGAGTACATAATGGCAAAATATTGTTACTTTCATAAAGTAGATGTAAGTAATTTCAGCTTAAGTTGAATTTTGATCAAATTAGAACCATTTTTAAAAAGTAGTATTTCTACTACTTTTTTCAAACTATACAAAAATTCATAGTTTTTCTATAAATTTTATATGACTTTAATAAAATTGTTTAAAATAATAAGAAAATGTAGCAAAATTATGATTTTCTCTACTATTAAAAAGAGTAGTATTTTTACTACTATTTAAAAAAGTATGAAAAATGACAAAATATTGATATTTTCATAAAGTAGATGTAAGTAATTTCAGCTTAAGTTAAATTTTAGTCAAATTGAAACCATTTTTAAAAAGTAGTATTTCTACTCCTTTTTTCAAAATTTACAAAAATTTTTATAAATTTTACATAATATTAATATTATTAAACGAAAATATAGCAAACTATAATTTTCTCTACTATTAAAAAGAGTAGTATTTTTACTACTAAAGTATGAAAAATGACAAAATATTGCTATTTTCATAAATTGCATTTAAATGATATAAGTTAATGTCGAATTTTGGTCAAATTGCAACAGTTTTGAAATAGTAGTATTTTAGTACTTTTTTAAAAATGAAGGAAAACTCACAGATTTCTATAAGTTTTACATAATATCAATAAAAGTGTGTAAAGTAACAAGAAAATGTAGTAAAATTATGATTTTTTAAAAACATTTCTCTGTTTTATTATTAAAAATCTGAATTTCCTTCAAATCTAATAAAAACAACAGAAAATCCCTTTATTTTCTTACATATTCTTAAAATTTTTATAAAAATACCCACAATTCACTGTATGTCCCATAATTTTATTTAAATGTAAAGAAAACCCTAAAAAATATCTTTATTTTGTTCAAAAACTAAAAAAAAATCATTTTAAACTCTTTTATTTTTCAAAAATTAACGGTTTCAATAATTTACCAAACAACCCTGTTAAAAACAACAAAAAACTCACAACAGCAACTCTGACTCTTATCAAAAACATCGCACTCGCTTCAAAAAACAAACAACAACAATATGAAAACAAAAACATAGCAAATGTCAACAAAACGAAAAAAAAACACATTGACAGCTGACTAACAACAAGAGAAAATAAAGAGAGCAAATTATTAACGACGTGTAAAAATTATAAAAAACCAAAGAATTTGTTTAAATTTATAAACAAATCTAAAAAAAAACAATTAAAATTCTATATAATTAAAAAAACTTACAACAAAAACAACATGCAGTCCGAGGATTTATTGCAATTTAAGGATTTTTCCAATACACCCAACACCAGCAGTCCTCCGGCACAAATAAATGTCAATTCTCCTACACATTCCAATAGCAATTCCTCCTCTGGTGCGGGACGACAACGTGGTGATCCTTTACAGGATTTAATCTACGACATGAGTAATTCGGCTAATATTTTAAGCGGCTCGGGTGGGGGTTCAGCAAATGGTGCTGGTTCTGCTAATGGTGGAGAAGGTTTGCCAGAACCTGCCACCGCTGGCACAAATAAAGTGTCTTTCTTGACTTTGGAATATTATCAGCAATTTTTCAATGTTGACACCTTAATGGTTTTGGAACGTATTGCTAATTCTATGATCCCCAAGAGGGCTCCTGGGAATTATTTGAAATCGATTATAGGTCAGAATCCAGATTTGTATGGTCCTTTTTGGATTACCACTACTTTGGTGAGTTTTTTTTTGGATATCAACACAAAACACTAAACTAATTTTATTTATCTCAATGTACAGATCTTCAGTATTGCTATTAGTGGCAATATTGCCAGTTATTTGCAGGCGGCCGATGACCACTACAAGTGGCGTTATAATTTTCACTTGGTTTCGGTGGCGGCCAGTTGTATCTTTGTCTATGTGAATTTATTGCCAGCGGCTTTGTGGGGCCTATTTAAGTATAGTTTGAAACCCATACAAGAGGGTTTGGAAACGGAGAATGTAAGTAAAAATACACAGACCATAGGGCAGACTAGAGTCCATAACATAAAATAGCTTAAAGATATATTATAGACTAGACTATAGACTAGTCTATAGACTAGACTATAGACTAGACTATAGACTAGACTATAGACTAGACTATAGACTAGACTATAGACTAGACTATAGACTAGACTATAGACTAGACTATAGACTAGACTATAGACTAGACTATAGACTAGACTATAGACTAGACTATAGACTAGACTATAGACTAGACTATAGACTAGACTATAGACTAGACTATAGACTAGACTATAGACTAGACTATAGACTAGACTATAGACTAGACTATAGACTAGACTATAGACTAGACTATAGACTAGACTATAGACTAGACTATAGACTAGACTATAGACTAGACTATAGACTAGACTATAGACTAGACTATAGACTAGACTATAGACTAGACTATAGACTAGACTATAGACTAGACTATAGACTAGACTATAGACTAGACTATAGACTAGACTATAGACTAGACTATAGACTAGACTATAGACTAGACTATAGACTAGACTATAGACTAGACTATAGACTAGACTATAGACTAGACTATAGACTAGACTGTAGACTAGATTAGACTATAGACTAGATTAGACTATAGACTAGACTATAGACTAGATTAGACTATAGACTAGACTATAGACTAGACTATAGACTAGACTATAGACTAGACTATAGACTAGACTATAGACTAGACTATAGACTAGACTATAGACTAGACTATAGACTAGACTATAGACTAGACTATAGACTAGACTATAGACTAGACTAGACTAGACTATAGACTAGACTATAGACTAGACTATAGACTAGACTATAGACTAGACTATAGACTAGACTATAGACTAGACTATAGACTAGACTATAGACTAGACTATAGACTAGACTATAGGCTAGACTATAGACTAGACTATAGACTAGACTATAGACTAGACTATAGACTAGACTATAGACTAGACTATAGACTAGACTATAGACTAGACTATAGACTAGACTATAGACTAGACTATAGACTAGACTATAGACTAGACTATAGACTAGACTATAGACTAGACTATAGACTAGACTATAGACTAGACTATAGACTAGACTATAGACTAGACTATAGACTAGACTATAGACTAGACTATAGACTAGACTATAGACTAGACTATAGACTAGACTATAGACTAGACTATAGACTAGACTATAGACTAGACTATAGACTAGACTATAGACTAGACTATAGACTAGACTATAGACTAGACTATAGACTAGACTATAGACTAGACTATAGACTAGACTATAGACTAGACTATAGACTAGACTATAGACTAGACTATAGACTAGACTATGACTAGACTATAGACTAGACTATAGACTAGACTATAGACTAGACTATAGACTAGACTATAGACTAGACTATAGACTAGACTATAGACTAGACTATAGACTAGACTATAGACTAGACTATAGACTAGACTATAGACTAGACTAGACTATAGACTAGACTATAGACTAGACTATAGACTAGACTATAGACTAGACTATGACTAGACTAGACTAGACTAGACTAGAGACTATAGACTAGACTATAGACTAGACTATAGACTAGACTATAGACTAGACTATAGACTAGACTATAGACTAGACTATAGACTAGACTATAGACTAGACTATAGACTAGACTATAGACTAGACTATAGACTAGACTATAGACTAGACTATATACTAGACTATAGGCTAGACCATAGACTAGACTATAGACTAGACTATAGACTAGACTATAGACTAGACTATAGACTAGACTATAGACTAGACCATAGACTAGACTATAGACTAGACTATAGACTAGACTATAGACTAGACTATAGACTAGACTATAGACTAGACTATAGACTAGACTATAGACTAGACTCTATAGACTAGACTATAGACTAGACTATAGACTAGACTATAGACTAGACTATAGACTAGACTATAGACTAGACTATAGACTAGACTATAGACTAGACTATAGACTAGACTTATAGATATCCTGGAGTTTAGGCTAGACTATAGATATCCTGGACTTTGGGCTAGTTTAACAATTTATGTTCTTTTTTCCAGGCTGATTACACCCCTTCTTTGTTGGCCTTAATGTGTGTTTATGGTTATTCTTTGGCTATTTACATTCCTGTCTCCATTTTGTGGGTTATACAAGTGAGTTAAAGATGAATTTCTTTAAGAAAAAATGCTAACTTTTCCTTCATTTCCAGCTGTCTATTCTACAATGGCTTTTGGTCATCACTGCCGCTTTATTATCCGGTTCTGTTTTAATTGCTGTTCTCACACCAGCCTTAAGAAATTCCAAAATTTCTTTATTCCTGATTATAGCCATTCTTGGAGCTCATTTTCTTTTGGCAGCTGGCTTTATGTTGTGTTTCTTTCATGTACCCAGTGGTGGTAGTGTACGTTTCTGTAACACCCGTTGTTAGCTCAGCCGCTCCCATAATTAATATAGTCAAACATTCGGTGGTATCGACGGCCAAGGCATTAGTGGAAATATCAATGAAACTAAAGTTTAATAAGTTTATGTTTATTATTATTATTATTATTTTGCAGGTTTTTTAAGTTATTAATTTTTACAGAAATTAAGAAGAGTATTAAATGATTAATAAAAAGAAAATTGGATTATTTACATAAGTGAATTGATGAAGAAATGCTGCAGCTTAAAAGAAAAAGATTGCAACGGGAAGTTTTTTAAGATAAACAGTGTAAAGAATTTAGGAAAAGCAGTTGCTGGTAACAGAGTTTCAAGATAAGCAGTGACATAAACTATAAATCAAGATAAAACAGTTTCAAGAAAGAATAATGATTAAAACATTTACAACGAGTAAACAGTGTAATCAAGAAATTTAAGGTATTTCTAAAGATTATTATAAAATATTTCATAAAATTTATAGGAAATTTAACAAATTTTAAGAAAATAATTATCAAAACTGAAGAATAACAAACTAGAAATTGGAAGATTATAATTTTATCTCCAAATAGTTTTTCCTTAAACTTTTTAGGTCATTTAATTCAAAGTCCTTCTAATTGACATTTTATCCCGTTATCTGGGTTCCTTTGTATGATTTAATTGTTTCCCTCTATGATGACATGTTAGTGTCATTTAAAATTTGATTTGCACATAAATTAAATTTACATTTGTTATTTTGAAAACATTTTGTAATAAAAGTCAGTTTTGTAATAAACTTATTTTACCTTTTTACAAAACATATACCATTGTTTCTTTATAAAACCAGAAACCGGTCTTGACCAGACCTTTTTTTTTCTAAAACAAAACCTACTGCAGTTTGCCTTACAAAAAAAAAACCCTTATCAATTTGTAATTTTTTGTTGTAAGTTTGGTTTTCAAAAATATGGGTTGCATTTGCTGGCTGTTGAAAAAAAAACTTCCTTTGTTTCAAAGTTCCAGTTTGGCTGCTATCTAAATGATGTCTATGTTTTCTTTTTTATTCCACAGCTATTGTTATTTTTACAGCCTCCTGTCTCTGTTCGTATATACTTTTTGGTTAATCCTTTTGTTTTCCCTTCCGCTCTCTCTTTACCCTTTCTCAATTTAGTTTTTAATTTTCTTTAGCCAAAGGGAGTTTGGCCTTTATATAGCGAAAAACTTTATCTAAAACTGCATTTACATGCTGCAAGAAAGGGTTGCTTTGTCTATATTTATAAAGGGCAGTTGGGTGGCATGAGATTAATCCTAAAACTAGGAATAACATCAGAAACGACAAAAAGTTAAAGCTAACTGATAGGTAAATATAGTATGAAAAAAAAGAATAAAACGTTAATTGGAAGTTAAAGTCCGAAATGGGAAAAAACTGAAATTGAATAATTTTAAAGTGAATTTACATAGATTTCCTTCATTGAAGAAAATTTTAAGGAAAGACAAATTTTAAGTCTACAGTCTAGTCTATAGTCTAGTATAGTCTAGTCTATAGTCTAGTCTATAGTCTAGTCTATAGTCTAGTCTATAGTCTAGTCTATAGTCTAGTCTATAGTCTAGTCTATAGTCTAGTCTATAGTCTAGTCTATAGTTAGTCTATAGTCTAGTCTATAGTCTAGTCTATAGTCTAGTCTATAGTCTAGTCTATAGTCTAGTCTATAGTCTTGTCTCTAGTCTAGTCTATAGTCTAGTCTATAGTCTAGTCTATAGTCTAGTCTATAGTCTAGTCTATAGTCTAGTCTATAGTCTAGTCTATAGTCTAGTCTATAGTCTAGTCTATAGTCTAGTCTATAGTCTAGTCTATAGTCTTGTCTATAGTCTAGTCTATAGTCTAGTCTATAGTCTAGTCTATAGTCTAGTCTATAGTCTAGTCTATAGTCTAGTCTATAGTCTAGTCTATAGTCTAGTCTATAGTCTAGTCTATAGTCTAGTCTATAGTCTAGTCTATAGTCTAGTCTATAGTCTAGTCTATAGTCTAGTCTATAGTCTAGTCTATAGTCTAGTCTATAGTCTAGTCTATAGTCTAGTCTATAGTCTAGTCTATAGTCTAGTCTATAGTCTAGTCTATAGTCTAGTCTATAGTCTAGTCTATAGTCTAGTCTATAGTCTAGTCTATAGTCTAGTCTATAGTCTAGTCTATAGTCTAGTCTATAGTCTAGTCTATAGTCTAGTCTATAGTCTAGTCTATAGTCTAGTCTATAGTCTAGTCTATAGTCTAGTCTATAGTCTAGTCTATAGTCTAGTCTATAGTCTAGTCTATAGTCTAGTCTAGTCTAGTCTATAGTCTAGTCTATAGTCTAGTCTATAGTCTAGTCTATAGTCTAGTCTATAGTCTAGTCTATAGTCTAGTCTATAGTCTAGTCTATAGTCTAGTCTATAGTCTAGTCTATAGTCTAGTCTATAGTCTAGTCTATAGTCTAGTCTATAGTCTAGTCTATAGTCTAGTCTATAGTCTAGTCTATAGTCTAGTCTATAGTCTAGTCTATAGTCTAGTCTATAGTCTAGTCTATAGTCTAGTCTATAGTATAGTCTATAGTCTAGTCTATAGTCATAGTCTATAGTTAGTCTATAGTCTAGTCTATAGTCTAGTCTATAGTCTAGTCTATAGTCTAGTCTATAGTCTAGTCTATAGTCTAGTCTATAGTCTAGTCTATAGTCTAGTCTATAGTCTAGTCTATAGTCTAGTCTATAGTCTAGTTCTATAGTCTAGTCCTATATAGTCTAGTCTATAGTCTAGTCTATAGTCTAGTCTATAGTAGTCTATAGTCTAGTCTATAGTCTAGTCTATAGTCTAGTCTATAGTCTAGTCTATAGTCTAGTCTATAGTCTAGTCTATAGTCTAGTCTATAGTCTAGTCTATAGTCTAGTCTATAGTCTAGTCTAGTCTAGTCTATAGTCTAGTCTATAGTCTAGTCTATAGTCTAGTCTATAGTCTAGTCTATAGTCTAGTCTATAGTCTAGTCTATAGTCTAGTCTATAGTCTAGTCTATAGTCTAGTCTATAGTCTAGTCTATAGTCTAGTCTATAGTCTAGTCTATAGTCTAGTCTATAGTCTAGTCTATAGTCTAGTCTATAGTCTAGTCTATAGTCTAGTCTATAGTCTAGTCTATAGTCTAGTCTATAGTCTAGTCTATAGTCTAGTCTATAGTCTAGTCTATAGTCTAGTCTATAGTCTAGTCTATAGTCTAGTCTATAGTCTAGTCTATGGTCTAGTCTATAGTCTAGTCTATAGTCTAGTCTATAGTCCTAGTCTATAGTCTAGTCTATAGTCTAGTCTATAGTCTAGTCTATAGTCTAGTCTATAGTCTAGTCTATAGTCTAGTCTATATTCTAGTCTATAGTCTAGTCGATAGTCTAGTCTATAGTCTAGTCTATAGTCTAGTCTAATGTCTAGTCTATAGTCTAGTCTATAGTCTAGTCTATAGTCTAGTCTATAGTCTAGTCTATAGTCTAGTCTATAGTCTAGTCTATAGTCTAGTCTATAGTCTAGTCTATAGTCTAGTCTATAGTCTAGTCTATAGTCTAGTCTATAGTCTAGTCTAATAGTCTAGTCGATAGTCTAGTCTATGGTCTAGTCTATAGTCTAATCCATAGCCTAGTCTATAGTCTAGTCTATAGTCTAGTCTATAGTATAGTCTATAGTTTAGTCTATAGTCTAGTTATGTTTTATTCTGTATTCTATTCTGTATTCTAGTATATAGTCTAGTCCATAGTCTAGTCTATAATCTAGTTTTAGTGTTGTCTATAGATTAGTATATAGTCTAGTCTAAGCCTAAGGAAAAAGCCAATTTTTGGACTAAATTATAAATTCAGTTTAATTTCTAAAAAAGGACTTTTATGATATAAGAAAGTACTTTTTCATTCAGTTTAATTTGAAGAAGTACTTTTAAAAAAATTTAATAAATTACGTCATTAAAAACAATTTTTTAAAGAGCATCAATCCATTTTATTATATTATTCAGCTTTCGATCTGACCATCATTAAAACAAATTTCAATGAATAATTCATGCCATGCCACAGATCCCAAACTATGCCTTTTCTCCCTTCTCAGAAACCGGTTTCTCCAGATAAGGACCATTAAGATGACTACGAAAACAAATATAAAATGATACCAAACAAAAACATTCATTAAAGTCAAAACCTACCTCTGATGACAATAACCAAAACCACCAGGCTCCGTGTCATAGTTTGGCACAATTATGCAATTTTGACCCATCATTATCCTGATCCAAAGTGGTAAATTTCTTACCCACCTGTTCGCTTAAAGCATCTCCAGCCGAACCCACATAAGAACCCAAATCTTTAAGTTCGTATAAGTCCGCTTCAGAGCCCACTATAAAATTATTATATTTAGCATAAGCTATATGTTTATCATGATCCCCTAGTACGATCAAAAGTTCTTGGGGTCCTTTGGTTTTAGTTAGCTGATGTAAAGGCTCTAAACCTATAAAGAATTCTTTGTGTTTATCGCCAAAACCCTGCTGATAATCCGACCAATTGCGATAGAAATTCTCCGAACCATCTAGACGTCTTTGTATTGGTGTCCAACCATTGAAGATATAAGAAAGATCTGCGGAACATTTCGATCTTTCCTCATCTGCATACCAGCTTTCGAATGACTCCAATTGCCAAAGTAATTTTTCATGTTCATATTTGTCCACTACTTGCATTTTAATGTTCTTCAGCTGATTTCTAATGGAATTCACATTCTGCACTAAATTACTGGAGCTAGTAGTCCACTCACTGCTTCTATCATCTTTCTCAGCTTTTATAAGTTGAATTAATAGAAATAATAAAATTGGAAGAGTAACAGTTTTGAATTGCATTTTTCTCAAGACCTTCTACTTAGCGTTTTATTTAACAAATGAATCATTTGCAATTTATTGTTTATTTATTATCAATTTTATTTTGTATGTAGAATTTTGTGAATTCTAGGTATTCAATAAATTATCGCTGCAGGTTAAAAGGTGACAGATTTTACTCTACAGCTGGGTTTCCTGGGAAACAGATATTTAAAGGTTTTAAATATTTCTTAGGAATCTTGATAATTATGAAAAGACAAAAACTTCTTTTAAATTATTAACAAAAACTAAAAAAATATAGACTAGTCAATAGTCCAGTCTATAGTCTGGTCTATAGTCTAGTCTATAGTCTAGACTATAGTATAGTCTATAGTCTAGTCTATAGTCTAGTCTAAGTCTAG